GGCCGAATATTCGGTGCATCCCTATTATTTTGCATCATTGTTCCAACCGACTGCAACACCTTGAGAGTTGCTCAATTCGTTCTATTAAACAATATTTTAAGTGTTTGTTTTTTAGCATCTTTAGCTTCCAGCTGCTGTTAGCACACAGGCTTATTCTACCAGATATAGTGTAGTGGGGTTGTTCATCAGTCGTTGGGAGTAGGCTGCTGCAGCACTGAGTCTGTGATATTGTCTGTGGGAAAGTGACCGGGACTTCAGGAAGCAGAAACTCTTAGTTAGCATGTTCGTTAGCTCTGTGGCTAACAGAACAACTGTCAGAGCAGAATATCAGTTCAGTTTTCCAGACTTCCTCCTTTCAGTGGGTGGAGACTGTGTGTGTGTGTGTGTGTGTGTGCGTGCGTGCGTGCGTGCATCAGACAGATAACTGGGAGTTGTTTTTTTGTTTCTTTCTTAAAGAGACGTTTCCCCATTTTTCAACAGTCGTTGGAACAGAAAGAGGAAGAGCAGCTGCTCTCTCCGTGAGTGTGTGTGTGTGTGCTGGTGTGTATATGTACATTAATGTTTATATGGGAAGATGAGGATTCTAGTTTTACTGCCGGACCATGAGAAGAGGAGGATTAAATCGGAGGTAAAGTTTTTCTTGTTGTTTTAGGTCAGTTTGAGAGTTTGACCTCTGACCTTTACCAGCTGCTGTTCCCAGTGTTACTGACAATTTCAGTGTGTGCAAGAGTTATTTGGGTCCTTTAGTAAAAGTATTAGAAGTTCTCACTGAGCAGATTATTATTAGCAGAAGCAGCATTTTACAGTTTCAGTCTATAGTAATGCGTCATATTTATGATTTTATTTTTAAAAGTAATCAGTAACTATAAAAGTAGTACGATGTGTGTTTTAGCTCGCAGACAGACATTAGTTTCCATTCATTTCTGCTGAATATAAAAGTTCATTTTTGTCTCTTTTTAAATCAGTCTGAAGTTAAACTGCAGAGAGAACAGACTTATCGATCAATCTGAGTGAAGGAAATCAATAACAAAAACAATAGTAAAAACACACTGGTATCTTCCTGTAAGAGTGTG